TAAAGATTATCATAAATTCTGTCACCAATACTCTTTTAAATAATTATTGTGGCAAAAGAAATGACACCATTGGAAAGGGGAATAAAAGAAAGTTAAATACTCTCACTAAATAAAGTTGGTAGATTATTAGCAATTGTATTCTTGACTATTTAAAACAATTAGAACGCTTCGGAAACATGAAATATTAAGCTATAACTCAAATTAAACTATTTGTGGCTAGTTAACTACGTTCATTCTTTATTTCGGTGGTAACGGTTTAAGGCATTCATGCATTCTTTGATCAATTTGTTCTCAGGTTGAAACGACTTCTTGATAAATTTTATTTTGCAGCATTCGCCAACGAAAAAATCCGGAGGCGTCAGATCCGGTGATCGTGGTGGCCACTTGCAGGTCCATGTGTTCCAATTCAACAGTTTCTCTGTGAAGTGAGTATTCAATTGATCTTTTATATGAAGAGGGAAGAGCGTTATGTCTAGAGGCGCCAACTTCTTGAATTATTATTATAAAACGGATTTTGATTGATTTGGAAAAATCGAGTGAAAAGTTGCCGAGCATTTTGGTTAGTTCTAAACGCAAATTGTGAGTGTGTTTTTGGACTTGGCCGAAACCGATCAATCCTTTGGCTGGAAAACGGGATTCTTGGCAACTTTTCAAGCGTTTTGAGCAACTGTTAATCAAAATCGGCCAACAAATGCTGCGAGACCATAAAGACATTTTCTCTAATTTGTAATTTAGATGATTTTTGCACCAACAACATCTGATGTTTGGTGCGAACTTTGCATTTTAATTCATCAAACCGATTGCGAAATTTCCTCTCTATGAATTCGTGAACTTTGCAATTGACGTGCAACTTCGCTCATACAGCAGCGTAGAATTGCAAGTGCATTTTTTCGCCAAATACGCCGTGTTTATGCAGCAGCTCAGGGAAAAGTGCGCGAATCGAACACCATGTTTACATCTGGGGGGAATGTGGCGCTGTTTTTCCTGCATATATTAGATAATAAATATTTTCCAATTCGCATTGTGAATGCAAATGTTTGGCATCTTTGACCACTGGAACGGCGTTTTTCGTAAACAGTCAATCGGAAATATACTCAGCATTTGGGTGGCTGTTTATCAGCTATGTATAGCTGACATTTAGAGTAAGTCGAAAGGTATGTTGTTTGCGATCGAAAAAAACCCCCGTCCGACCAAAGCGATCTGAATAATGTTGAAGCAGCCTTGCGTTGGGAGGCATGAAGATAAATTGCTACTAGTTTAACTTGCCTGTTACTTACTTCTGAGTTCATTGCGGCTGGTAGGGACGACGTTGAAGATGAACAGGAGCCCTGCCCGTTCTCCTCATTGTTGTTCACATTCTCCCTGCCAGCCAAAAGGTTCTTATGGACGCCCATCATTCGCACCGATTCGTACTGGGGCGTTTCCGATTTGGGGCCGGCTCGCTTTATCTTCACCGTAAAGTACTTTTTCCAGCCGGGCATCATCTGGAACACGGATATTAGCGTTGAAATTCATTCGGGTGCTAATTGGCTGGCAAATACGGAAATTTCAAACAATCAAAGATACGCATTAAAAAAATTAGCGGCTCACTAGTAATGCGCGATTTTTTAGCGAGTCATTATCTTCTACCGAGAGTTTCGTTGCTGATAATTGCCCCAAAATCCCCCGATCGCGTGAGTTAAATTTTGGCAAAAACTCACCTCTCCATCGCCCGTCAGATACATGCGCAGCTTCTCGTGGTCCTCAAGGGCCGTGACCGTGAACAGTGATTGGCCCATTAGATCAGTCTGGAAATGGCAAAGGGAAATTAAAAAATCCGACATATTTTATTCGGCCTGCAAAGTAGGCCTGGGTAACTCAGCGATTTTTTAAGAGTTGGCGCAGTGCTGCGCAAATGGCCGGGTGCGCCAACCCAACGCACCCGCGCAGTAACGCTGGGAAAATGTTGATGACTTTTGTGGATTTATTTTAAAGGCCATTTATTAATAATATTTTAAAAATGTCTTCAGATTTCAGAATGTTCCAGTTTTAGCCTAGTTACTCTTTCTTCCGTATGCTCAATTTCTTAAAGTTTCCCTTCAAAATGCTGACAATCTTTCTGAACAATCTGAATTCTTCGTCGCTTTGTAAAAAGTTTTAAAATTCCGTTTGCAGCGTCGAATTTGGAACAAAAATCATACAATTTTCAAATCAAAAAACGAACAGAATGAGCGAAAGTTTCTAACAGATTATTTGGAAATGTTGCCACCTCCATTCCTCTGAAGACTGTAGAGTTTGTTAAAAAATGTGGTTTTTTAGTTTTGACTGAATTTTTTTTGCTTCACTTTCTAGTCAAAAACGCTCTATTTTGAAGAGTTTCACTTAAAAATACTGAAGACCTGGAGGACTTTTACACGAAAAATTACAAGGTAAATTTACGGCTTTGTCAAAATTTTACAAAAACATTTTTCAGTGCCAAATTGGGGACAAAAACGAAAATAATTCATACCGATTTTTCCCGACAACCATTAATGTTTTCTCCAAAACCGATCACAAAACAAAGTTTTTAAACGAAAACGCAAAAAAGCGTTATTATCTGATAGCTTTCGTCTTTTTTTAACAATAATTGTGTTTTGCGTCAAAAATTACTAGAAAATTCGCCTCATTCATCGGTTTGCAGAGAACGTTAGAAAACCCTTTTTAGCTTCGAATTTGGCACAAAAATCAAATAATTTTATTCAGTTTTTTAGCGAAAGTAGTTAAGAAAAACTATATTGAAAAAACGACCAGAGTGCAAAAGTGTACAAAAAAATTTTCGGAAAATTCGCCTCCCTCATTGCTCTGAAGACTTTAACAGTTCCTTTAAATTTTCAGGTGATTCCAGTTTTAGCAAAGTTTCTATTAAGCAACTCTTTCTACGCAAAAATCGCATTAGTTTTACTTAAAATACTGGCAACCTTCAGGTATTTTCTGTGAAAAATTATAAGATAAATTTCATTGGAACACTCGCGTCCTTAACCGCTTGCAAATATTTTTAGATGAACTTTTGCAGCTTCGAATTATGGACAAAACCTTAATAATTATTTCTAGGTCTTTCCAAAAATATTCCCCCGAACTGAAAAAGCGAAAGTTTATAAGCATTTATTGGGAACACTCTTGGAAACTGGGGTTTCTTCACTTTTAGGTCAATATTTCTGAACAACACTGTCTCTAAACAGAAAACCCGCGTTTTCCGAACTTTTTCTGTAAAATACTGCCAAACTGAATCTTTTAGGCAAAAAATGAAGATTGATTTTACAAAAAAACTCGTCGACTTTTTTTGGACTTAGTTCTGTTGCTGGGAAAATCTAGATGACTTTTTTTAGTTGTTTGAACAAGGTATTTACTACCTTACGTTACTCAGAAAAAAGTCAATAACCCTTTTTTACATGTGAACATTCCAGTCGCTGGTCTCTTAAAGCTTTAATAAATCACTTATAACTCATTAACCGATGAGTTATAACTCGTTAACTCAGAGAGCGGCAACAACTCAATAGCGCAACTCAACACAGTGTTGCCCAGGCCTACTGCAAAGGACTCACTTGCAGATGCCCTAACAGGGTCTCGACCGTGTGCGAAACGAAGATGACTTTGCCCACCGGGCTCAGAATGAGCATGAAGCTGCCCATTTCGTCGCATATTAGCTGATCGAGAAGGAACTGATCGACTTGGGGCGGCAAATCCATCTGGGGCGTGCCGTTTCGCTTGACCAAAGCTGGAAAATGATTGATTAATCAGCAAAAATGTGGACATTTTTGTGCAGCCGGACTTACTTTGGTAGATCCGCAAATGGGTGGCAGCCAGTCGAAGAATGCTGGTTTTGTCCAGGCGTTTTTGACTTCGGGCCACCAGTGGGATCAGTTTGGCCAGCTCGTTGATGAAGGCGTTCAGCCGATCGCGACGCTGTTTTTCCGCCTTGTTTCGCATTTCGCGTGTGTTGCTGGAAAACCAAATTATATTTTCATTTATTTAGATCAAATTTCTATTGCGAAAGTGCAGCTGCAATGGCGTGAATGAGTGGAGAAAGATCGCATTGTAACCGCGTTTTTTTATTGCATATTTTAGTTGTCTAGATACTTTTACACTGTCTCAAGCTTACTTTTTTGTTCTATTACTAGTCCATCCAGCGGGACGGAAATTTTCGGGGGTAATACCACGAGAGCTTTGAAATTACCGATAATTTTTCACGATTGCATGTTTTCCATAATTGAAATTTGTAAGGAAAACATGCCAGAGTGAAAAATTATATGGTTAATTTTAAAGCTCGAGTGGTATTTAGTGAGATTATTTCTCGAATGAAATACGACATTAAGAAATAAATAATTAGTACATATAATATTTAACAAGAAACTCATTTATTAATGGAATAATAAAAGTTA